TTAGAATATTCTCAATTTTACACATAGCTTTGTATTTGTAGTTCAGAAAAGCAGTTTTTAAAGCTAAACAAACCAATAGAAAAATTATATTCAATTCATTACAACAGAATTGCCTGTGTCGTCATAGGAGGGATCCTGGCTCGCAGGAGACACTCAGAGCAGCTGGGGGCAGGGAGCCCTCGCCTTCAGGGGGCTTGGCCCTCGTGACCTTGGTGTGTGGTGCACCCCACCCATTCACCCACTCACTCATTCATTCACCCACTCACTCATTCATTCACCCACTCACCCATACAAATGGTCAGAGTGTCTACTGGTTTGCAGATGCTCTTTCTGGCATCAGAGCTACAGGCGTGAGCAACACAAAGCCCTGCCACAGAGGTGCTTATCTTCCAGGAAGAGAGATATTTGAGCTCCACGAGGGTGGCACACTGCAATGTCCTCTGCTGCATCTCCAGTGCCTAGAAAACGGCCCAGAATGGTACAGAAACACAAAAATAGTTGCTAGATTATAGGACCCTCACTCTTTCTCCAGGATTCATTCCCTGACCTTTACCTCTCTTCCTCCAAATGGTTCCAGAGGGGGCAGCTGTGTTTCTGTAGCAATGATTCCACCCCTGAAACAGCTGATTGGTCCAGGAACAAGCACCTGACCTGAGCTGGGCCAATCAGTTCCTTCCCTGGGATTCTCAATCACTGAAGGGGAAGGAGGGACAGACAGGCAGACAGTGGGACCTGGGCTCTCCAGCAGCTGTACTGTAGCACACGGGCTCGGCCATGTCTGAGAGAAGCAACCAGCTGCAGAATGGACATGTAGAATGGGGTTCAGCATCCAAAGTGTTGGGGTTTCTGGTTCTAGCTTGAGTCTCAACCCCATTTCTGCCCTTGAGTTTCTGTATGCTGAACCTAAATTCTCTGCTCTGGTTAGGACACCTGACACCAGAGTCTTAAATGGTGTAGATGAGAAACACAACTCACTGCACACATGGGACGCAACCCCTCTGCCCTGGGGGAGCCCACACCAGGGGCCGCCAACATCTGGGGCAGACCCAGCCACCCTCCTTACCTGCCATCCCAGGTCTCGGAAGCTGACGTAAAGCTCGTGCTTCTTACAGGCCTGCCTTTGGTCACTGCTGCTGTTTTCTGCATGACAGGAAGCAGGACAGCAGAATGCACAGAGGAAAAAGAAACACATATGAAAATCTCCTGGGCCTAAGGAAGTGGTGTGAGCACAGGCGAACCCAGATGGCTGGAGGGCGACTCCCCTGATACAAAAGCCCCGGTAGCCTTAAAAACCCACCTCCATCAGTAAGGGAGGTGCCTGTGCCCCCAGCCCCTCACACAGTCTTAGCTCACGCACTCTCTGGATCCTTCTGTGGACACTGGTTTTTCTTACGCACATGTCTTGTTTAGATACCGACATCACCCAGTGTCCACATGGGAACCAAATCCGTCCATACCCCACAGCGCTGGCTGCAGGGACCTGCTCAGAGGGCTCTGCTCCCTACCAACCCTGCCTGGAAGGCCGGCACACGCCACAGTGCTTACCCCTCTGGAAAGGACAAGAGGGGCACAGACAGGGTGTGGGACAAAGCCCCCACCGCCCAGGAGAAATGAGGGGGCAGAAAGTCAAATTCCACTGACCTTCCTGTAAAACACACTATGGGAGGTTTTACGGGAGGTTTCCTCTGAGGAGCGAAAATTATGCACCGGGATTTTCCAAAAGTATGTAAAGTGTGTTGGCATTTGGGTTAGGGACTGACTTTGTAAACATGCAGATAGCTCTCTGTCTCCGTCTGTGTCTCTCTCCATGCCTCCCCTTCCCTGACACACACACACACTTGCTCATTCAATGTACAGCCCCCTGGGCCATGCCCAAGTTGAGAACAACTTTGAAATTGAGAGGCAGGGGAGTGAGGCTGGGACGCAGAAAGAGAACAGGAGTACGGCAGACGGGCGGAGGGAGGGGAGCGGAGAGCAGAGGATGTGGCCAGGACCAGAGAACGGTCAGCGGGTGTCCAGCAAACGCATAGGTCTGAGCTGAACCAGTGCGCAGGTCTGGATGCGGTCAGTCACATGCTGCCACTTCGTTCATGGGCTCTGTAGAATATTCTCAATTTTACACATAAGCTTTGTATCTGTAGTTCAGAAAAGCAGTTTTTAAAGCTAAACAAACCAATAGAAAAATTATATTCAATTCATTACAACAGAATTGCCTGTGTCCTCATAGGAGGGATCCTGGCTCGCAGGAGACTCAGAGCAGCTGGGGGCAGGGAGCCCTCGCCTTCAGGGGGCTTGGCCCTCGTGACCTTGGTGTGTGGTGCACCCCACCCATTCACCCACTCACTCATTCATTCACCCACTCACTCATTCATTCACCCACTCACCCATACAAATGGTCAGAGTGTCTACTGGTTTGCAGATGCTCTTTCTGGCATCAGAGCTACAGGCGTGAGCAACACAAAGCCCTGCCACAGAGGTGCTTATCTTCCAGGAAGAGAGGCAGGTACATAAACAAGTAAACATAAATTACATCCCATTGAGATGAGCACTATGGGGAAAAGCAGGGAGGGGACAGGAAGGGGGTGCAGCCAGGGAGGTGTGCAGAAGACCCTTCTGAGGAGGTGATGGTTGTGGCAGAACCAGAAAGAGTGAGGGAGCAGGCCAGGATGGGGACCAAGGGAGGGGTGCTCCTGGGGAGGCACGCAGAGGATAGGAGAGGAGGCTAACTTCCATGACATCAGCAAGAACCCTGGCAGGGTGACAGAGGGGCAGAGCCAGGTCCCAGGGCCCTCCGGGAGTAAGGGCGAGTGGGCTGCCAGCAGCACGCATGGGGTGGAAGGTCCACTGTGGCGGACTGAGCTCCATGGCTAGAGGGTGGCAGAGGTTAGGAAGGTCGAGCAGCGGTGAGGGTCTGCCTGATCCCAGGCGCCCCTTCCCCACCTGTGGGTCTCAGCTGCGGGGGAAGGTCGAGGGAGCCATCGGAGAAGAGCCACAGAAACCCACTGGCCCATTCACTGCACCGCCGGGAATGCACTGTGGAAACCCAAGACGGGTTCTGTCGCTGGGGCGATGCCCACAGCCACAGGCTGCAGTGTGAATCCATGAGCCTGTTCACCCTCCCTACCAGGAAGGGGCAGGGGGAGGGAGGCAGGGGGAGCAGCCCTCAGCCAGTGATGTTGTGTGAAGCAGCCTGAACAACACAAAGGTCTGGGCACATCTTCTTTGGCCAAGGATGTGGCAAAAAAGCTTTGGGTCAAGTGCCAACATTGCTGCTCGGTGCTTGGTGCCCTGAAAGTAGCCCGAGCTATGTGACAGCTCTTGCAGCGACCGAGTCTGCCAGGAGCAGGTGAAGGGCAAGTGGCAGCCTGAGTGTCACGTTTCCCAACCCTGTCCAGGCAGAGCAACGCTATTTGGCATTATGGTGAAACCCAAGGCCCAACAGACCAAGGCCGTGAACCACTCATGAAGCTGGTTTCAGGCAGGTGTGTGGGGTGGGCACCGGGCCTGCCCTCAGGAACCTGCCGCCTATGGCTTCCTTGGATCGTGGCTGCTGCAGGAGAAAGAGGGCAGAGCTCTTGTTGTACGCTGACCTCTCATTAGCAGACAGGCTAGGAAAGAGGAGACGCTCAAGAAGCCGGCTCCCAGCCTCCCGTCTCTGCAGCCTGGCCCCCCCTACCCTGCCAACAGCAGCCTGGAGGCTACAGGGATGCTTCTCCCAGGCCACCGCCCCTACCCAGCTGACAAGTTACAACCAGTGCTGGGGCTCAGCTCTGACCCCACCGGTCACGTGGCGAAGGTGCCTAATTACCAGGGCGTTGGGGATGAATGTGGGTGGGGAGAAGGGACTGTAAGGGAGGTGAGAGATGCAGCCTCTTGACCCCAAACCCCACTGTCTGAAGAGCAGCTGAAGGCCAGGGCGGGCTGGGGGACAGTTAGCCTGCAGCAAGGAAAGCCTCGTGCGGGCGGCATGCTGGAGCATGTGTCCCTCCACGGCCGCGTGAGCCAGCACTCCACGTGTGTGGCCCCATCACACGAGGCAAACACACACACTTTCTCTATCTCAGAGATTCTGTTTTACTAATAAGCCTGTGGTGGGACCCAGGCTGTGTTTTTTTTTTTTTTCCTTAAAAGTTCCAGGAAAGTTTAGATGACCTTCAAACAGAGCCAGGAAGCAGAAATCTACAGGAAGGAGGCAGTTTACAGGGAAGGTAGAGCAGCTGCCCTGTGAGGTGGTGAGGGGCTCGTCCTGGGGGCATGTACATGGGGACTTGGTGAGGGTGTGGTGGGGAAACCAGGTGCCAAACCCGAAGCTTTGAGGCCTAGGCCCTCCCCCTTCGTCACCAAGGTACACCTGGTAGACCTGCAGGACCTGGAATCTGTGCTGGGCTGGAACCGAGCCGCAGTTCCTGCCTGACTGATACGGAAAAGCCTCGGACAAGTCTCCCTGCTTGGTCCTCCCTGAGTGCCCTGCCCTGCTCCCCACCACCCAGTGCAGCAGAAGGAGCATCGGATCACTTGCACCCCAGACCACTTCTTGAACCTCTGCAGTTCTTCAAACTGGCTTGGGATGAAGTTCAAGCTCTAGATGCGGCTCCCAACGGGACACCTGATCTCATTCATCTCGCCAGCCCCGCCCTCCCCTGGGCCCAGAGACCACAGCCTGCTCCTGCCCTCTAAGGGGCCTCTGCACCTTCCTGTGGGCCCCACTCCTGACTGCTCACATGGAGCGAGCCCAGCCCGGCCTTGTGGGCACCCGCTTGGCCCAAAGCTCTCAGCTGGTGAGTCTTCTCTGAACACCCTCCAAGTCACCCCCAGAATGCGTCAGTCCCTAGTCACCATCTCCCAGCTCTCAGGCCTGTTATTAAGTGTGACTCAACGACGGCCACCCCCTGCCTGCCATGAGTCTTGAGGCAGACCATGGCTTTCTCCACTGACCCCTGACCCCCAAGAGCCCAGCAAAGAGGAGGTTTCCAATAGAAATGAAGGGATTCAGTTGGTTTGGGGTACCACACACCCCTTTGGGAGGCCTAGAAGAATGAATCCACCTGTCAGAATCCCTACAAAATCCTAGCACGCAAACTCCAAGCCATACACATGCTCCAAAGTCCATCTGAGGGTCCCAGGAGCAGGAAGCCCTGCTCTAAAAAACCTCAAGAACCATGGCAACCATGCTTTTCTTCTCCCTCAAAGCAGAACAGAAATTTCAAAATGGGTTTAGGTGGGTGAAAGACGCTCATGACAGTATAAGGTTAATTTGGGGTGGGGGCTGCTTTGCCACCTCACCACCACATGTCTGAACGCCCACACCCTCCTTCTGTGATTCCTTGGGACGATCTGGGGACCAGGAACCAGGCGAGCTGACGAGCTTAATTCAGCGCCCTCAACACAGCCAGTGGGGCTGGTTCCTGCCTCACACCCAGCCCAGAGCTATGGGAGATGCATGCTGGATGGATGTAGCCCACCTCGGGGCAACGTGCAAATCACTTTGCAAGCAACAATACACTGGTTTCTTATTGCTGATTTAATAAATGACCACCGACATAGCAGCTGCAAACAGTACAAACTTATTATCTTCCAGTGTTGCAGTTCTGAAGTCCAACCCAGGCTCACGAGGGCAAATGCCAGGGGTTGGCAGGACTGTGTTCCTCCTGGAGGTCCCAGGGGAGAATCCATTTCCTTGTCTTTCCCAGTGTGTGGAAGCTGCCCACAGTCCTTGGCTCATGGCCGTTCCTTCTCCAAAGCCAGCCAAATCACATCTCTCAGCTCCTCCCTCTATCCTCTCATTTTTCTGACAACTAGCAAAGATTCTCCCCCTTTAAGGACCCATACGATTATTGTGCCACTGGGCCACCTGGACAGAATCATCTCCCTAATTTAAGCTCAGCTGATTTACAACCTTAATTCACCTGGCCATGTAAAATAACATATTCACCAGTTCCTGGAATTAACAAGGGCATCCTGGTGGAGCGACAGCATTATTCTGCCTGCGGTGAGCGGCGTCCTGCAGAGCCAGGGAAACACCTCTCTGGGCTGCAGCACAGCCGAGGTGAGAGGACGAGGGATTGTGGGGTGGGGGGTGGGGGCAGTTTCTTCCAGCCACAAGCTGGACTCTTCAGATCTGGCCGGTCATCTCTACAATCTACTGGGAAAACAGCTGTTCGTGGGGTTATTTGAAGCTTTCTTTTTAGCCTGGGGGAAAATCAAGATGCACCTTCCACTAGCAGAGGCAGCACCTAACATGCAGAAGAGCATGGGGCAGGGCAGGGCTGTAGGCATGCGGTCCACAGGTGTCCACAGTGCTGGAGAGGCTGGTCCAGGCCAGCTCAGCCCCCAAATCATGCCAGCAATCCCAGGCCACCAGATGCCATCAACATCTTGCTGCTCGATCGGCCTGTGGGAAAGGGACCACGTCCCAGCCAAGCCACAGTACTGGGACAAAAAAGCCCACCCAGGACTTAGCAAATGGCTGGTAAGTTGTTAGAAGATGCTTAACAGGATTGTTGGGGACACCGACGCTCCTTGAGTAAGGTATATGCCTCCTGGAACACCAAACAGGGAAGAATATCCAGAGCAATAGACAAGCAAACTTTCCAGGCTGGAATCCCAGAGCCGTCACTCACTTGCTCTGAGCCCTTGGACAAGTTACTTAACTTCTCTGAGCCCAAGTTTGCCTCCTCTGTAAAATGGGAGGCCGTGCTCCTTGGAGCTCAAGGACCCACAGAACCTGTGCTAAGCTCTGTCCACCCTACAATGAGGACCTAAACGCTGCAAGCCTCTGGGAGTTTCCTGTGGGGAATGCATGAATTTCAGTGTTCCTGTTCAGCCTTGCATCACAGGCTATGAAAATGTTACCTTTATATTTACTTTGTTTTTACTTATCATAATGAAACATTCCAAACAAACCTAAAGAATCTCCCCAAATGCACCTCAACCTCTACTGATCTTTTTTTTTCCACTTAAAACATTTCCAACAAACCCAAAAGTGTCCCCTGTAATATACCAAAAAAACCCCACCACCCATATTTAACAAGTATTAAAAATTGCCTTGCATTTCAAATATTTTAAGAAATACAATTAAACATACAATAAACTTCCCACTTCCGCCCCCCAGGCAGTGGCCTCCCTGGGGAAGCTGGTGCAGAGCTTTTTCACACTTGTTTTCCCAGTTTTCTTTCATCTCTTTGTAGCCATTAGTGAAGCCCTGGTTCTGTCTATTTAGACAAGACTGGCATCCTGTTAGGCTAATATTTTGCTCCTTGCATTTCTAAATGAAATTATTACTTTAACACAGTTAAGATGGTGAACTCTGTGTGCAGGAGGGGTTTTTGTGGGTTCTGCTTCCTGCTGCACCGGTTCCAGAATCATCTGTTGAGCACATGACTGTCCCTCTGGGGCCACTGTGGGCTCTTCAGGGTCTGTGACCTAACTCCCACCCTAGCATACCTGCCACGTTGGCCACCCGCAGGGCCTCCTGGTTCTTGGGCGTCTTGGAGCGGTTCTGGCTGCGCTGCTTGCCCCCCGTGGAGCGGGTGCTGCGCAGGTGGACCTCCGTGGCCTTGAAGAAGGCCACCATGAAGGGCTGCTTGTTCTGAGGCCCGTGCCGCCCAATCAGGCCCGCCAGCTTGGGGTTGATGCTCTGCCCTAGACCGGAAGCAGCCAAATGCAAAGATCAGTTACAGGAGAAGCAGTCAGCAGGGCATGGCTGCACGGATGGGATTTCATTCCTGCCTCATGGTTCGTCCATGAGTTCATCATGCATGCACTGTTCATCCATCCAGGGAGTTTTTATCCAGCACCTGCACTATGCCAGCTTGTTTTAGGAGTTTGGAACACAGCAGTGCACCACATGGAAAACTCCCTGTCCTCTGGGCATGCATGCTGGTGGGGCAGGCAGGCAGGCAGGCAACACACACTGCAGGTAGCCCAACGCGGTATGTGTGCATGCATTGTGTGTGCATGTGCGTGTACGTGTGGTAGGAGCCAGGCTGAGGTGTTGCAGGTCTCAGGCTAATGGAAGTTCCACTCACATTGCATTAGCCAAAACAGGTCATGTGAGGCACCTAATTTCATGGGGTGGGGACAATCGTGCTTGGTGCTAAGGAGGGTGGGGACAGTTGACAGCAGCCCTAATGACTAGTACCTTCTGCATGGAAGGGAGCAGAGAACTGGCCAACAGTGAGGGAGGGGGCCATGTGGGGGTCTGGGGAGGGGCCCTCCAGCGGACCACGCCACAGGCAAAGGCCTGGGGGTGGGAGCAAGGCGGGTGTGTTCAAGGGGTTATGAGGAGCAGAGGCAGGGGCCGGTGGGCGGTCAGGGCTGTCTGGGTGCAGAACGTAGTGTCCTGTGGGCAACTGCAGGCACTTTGCTTTTACTCTGTTCACCAGGTTGAACGGTGTCCCCCCCAGATTCATTTACCCAGAACCTCAGGATGTGCTTGTATTTGGAAATAGCGTCTTTGCCATGTAATTAGTTGTAACGAGGTCATGCTGGATTAGGCAGGGCCAATCCCGTGACTGGTAACCTTAGAAAAGGCCCCATGAAGACACAGAGACATGTGCACCCACGCCTACGCACGCACACGTGTACACGCACAGGGAAGACAGCCACATGAAGACGGACGCCAAGAACACCAAAGCAGGCCAGATGCTGGAAGAGGCATGAAGGACCCCTCACTGGAGCCCCTGGAAGGAGTGCAGCCCCAGGCACCTTGATTTCACTCGTCCAGCCTTCAGACTGTGAGCAAATAAAAACCGGCGCTAGCACAGCTGTGTGAGTGGCAACCATGGGGTGTGGGTCTCTGGAGACCACCTTGGGGGACCACCTGCCCCTGGAGACAGGACTGCAGGGCCAGGGTGGCCAAGGCAGGCCAGGTGGAAGTGATAGAACAGGCCAGGGAGAGGTGACAAGGGGCCTGGAGCAGGGCCATGGGGCGGAGATGGTCAGAAATGTCAGGTCCACCATAGTTCATGCTCTAAACCCATCTTTAGAATACAGTTTATTTTTAGCGTTTTGTTTTGAAATCATTACAGATTCATGGCAAGTTGCAGAAGAAAATGTCAAGGGAGGTACCGAGTACTGTTCCCGTTTCGCCCCATGCCACAGAACTGAACACAACATCCCTCCTGGAACACGACAGATGCTGGATCTGTTCTGAAAGAATCAGATGGAGTTTGCTGAGGGACTGGGTGTGAAAGGTGTGAGAAAGCAAGGTGTCACAAGTGACTTCCATGCACTGGGCCCGAGCACTTGGAAGAAGAGAGACCGTGGACAGCATGGGGACACCGAGGCAGGCGCTGGGGGAGGGGAGGCCCGGATGGAGGATGAGATGCCACGTAGTTGAGCAGCTGTGGCCTGAAATGACCACCTGACACCCAAGAGGCCAGCCTAGGTGTGGCTCCTGATCCAGCAGGAGACAGACTTGGAACCCAGACGTGCTCGGGCCCAGTGCCAGACTTCCTGGGTTCAAGTCCTGCCTCTGCCAGTCAACACACAGATGCTCCTCAGAGCAGAGCTTTACACATGGAAAGTGCTAGATAAATGCTGGCTCCGGGCCAGCATGGACATGGGTGGAACTCACCTGGGGCAAGTTTGTAGCTAGCCATGTAATGTGACGGCTAAGCCCTGGTGCCTGCCTCCACTGAGAAATCAGGGGAATGTGGCAAAGGCTGGGCAGGGCTGCCAGTGAGGGCGGGTCTAGAAGAAGCCTGGGCAGGAGGAAGGGGCACACCAAGAGCATAAGGGGCCCTGGAGACAGAGGGGAAAGCAGACAGAGCAATCACTCTGCCTGTCTCTCTGCTCTGCCAATGGCCGAGGGCAACAATGGTGAGGACAGGCCGTCTCCGGCTCTGACAACAGTGAGGCCACTGGTCAATGTGCATTTACTGTCACATCTGCTGGTGATAAGTATTCCAAAGACAGATAAAGCAAGACACATGGCAAGAGAGCCTATCTCATGACAGAACATCTCAGAGAGACTGAGTAACCTGCCCAGGGACACCCAGCTTGGCGGTGACGGAGCACGATTTGAACCCAGGTCATGCTGCATAACCACAACAGAGAGGACGCCCTCAAGGTGAGTGAGAGGGGTCAGAGGCCAGGAAAAGCAGCACCTCTGGAGCCCTGAGCACCATGCACATCTGGAATTAACTTCACCAGCAGATGGCCAGAGTCAAGAAAGCCAGCCTCCCAGGGACCGGATCAGCGCCAGGGGGTTCCCTTCAGTTTTTTTTAACAACTGATGTTTAAAAAGCGAGTTTCCCATCCACCACTGCATCATTACCCGAACCCCTGTTCATGTTTGGGTCTCCTGCATTCTTCAGTGGGGTTTGCCCAAGTTCACCCATCTATAATTTGAATGATTCTATAAAAGAAACCGTTAAAGCTGAGCCCCTAGGAATTGTTTCCCCCCTGGAAGGTTTTTAGAGCAATGTAAAAATGCCTCGCCTGCTGTTCCAGAAACAGTAAATCTCAGCGCTGGGGGCAGCGGCCATACCTCTGAGGGAGGGTACCCGGCTCGCAAAAGCAGCTGTTAGGACAGCGGGGTCCAGGGACCCACAACCTCAGCTGAGAAACAGGCGGACAGAGGGGAAAGAGGGCCTCCGGGGGGCTTACACCCACATCTGCCGCTGCCAGCCTGTGTGGGTGGCGAGGTGGAATCGCATGCTGCGGCCTCGATTTCCTGTCTGTAAAATGGGGATAATGCCGTTTAACCTCAGCCATGCCCCCCTCTCCTTGGGACCCAACCCAATTTTCACTTCAGCTGGGGGACCTTAGCAGACCCCCACCCTGGCCATAGGGGTGGGGCCTAGGGTCGAACAGACACCAGCGAATCCTCTGGCTACAGTGATTGGCTCAGTGAAGGGCACATGACCCAGTTCAGCCAATGAACGGAGGGTAGGTTTCCTGGACGTTTCTGGCAGAGAAACATCCCTCTCTAACATCCCGAAGCAACCTTCTTTCTCCCTGGACAGGACTGAGGGAGGATGCATGGAGCCTCAGAAGCAGCCACCATCTGGCAACCACAGAGGAACCCTATTTTCAAATGGGGCTGATATGGAGAAAGGAAGAGCAGACAGACAGACACAGGGTTTCTGGTGACATCACTGAGCCACTAGATCAACCCAGCCCTGAAGCTTATTGCCCAACAATTCCACTCTCAGGTATATACCCAAGAGAACTGAAAACAAAGGTTCACATGAAAATCTGTACACCAGTATTTACAGCAGCATTATTCACAGAGGTCAAAAGGTGGAAACAATCCAAACGTCTGCCAGCTAATGAACAGATAAGCAAGACGTGGTACATCGTGCAATGGAATATTATTCACCATAAAAAGGAATGAAGTGCTGATAAATGCTGCAACATGTACAGACCTTGAAAACATTACACTCAGTGAAAGACACCAGTCACAAAGCATCATGTACTGTATGGTTCATGCATATGAAATGTCCAGAATAGGCAAATCCATAGAAACAGAAAGTAAATTAGTGGTTGCCAGGGGTTGTGGGAGGGAAGGGACTGGGGGCAGTGAGTGTTAATGGACAGAAAGTTGCTTTTGGAGGCGATGGAAATGTTCTGGAATTAGGTGGTGGGGTGGGTGCACAACAACATGACTGTACTAGAAATTATTGGCTGTATACTTTAAAATGGTTAATTTAATGTTAATGTGAATTGTATCTCAATTTCTAAAAGGGTGGGGGTGGGAGAGCAGGAATGACCCACCAGCTGAAGCCTGGGGCACAGATTTGTTAATGAATAATGACGCCTACCACGGTGCCTGAAATTTTTGGCGCTTGATGATAATTTACAAAATGAATGAATGCCTCCCGTGCCGAAGCAGATGGAATGCTCACAGCCCACTCAACCCACAACCCAGTCCCAAGGGTGGACACTGTGACCTCACTTTACAGAGAGAAACAGGCTCTGTGCTTAAAGCCTTGCAGCTGGTTAGTGGAGAAGCCAGGGTTCAAACCCTGGTCTGTGGGGAGCCAAAGCCCATGCCCACAGCCACGACACCAGCATGCCCTTCTCCTGCGGAAACACCCATGCCTCCCTCCTAGGCCACCCCGCATGCTGGTGCTAAGCAGGAGTCGAGGTTCCCCAACATGGGGAGCCCCAAAACAACCTTATTTTGCACGTGAGCCCGGAGAACCCCTGGGCCAGGGCCACATCTGCAAAGGGCAGCCCGGGGGTGGGTAGCAGACAGCTTCCTCCCAGTGGCAGGTCTCTTCCTCCCTGGAATTCCCTGAAATGTCAGATATGCGACCACGGTTATTTGGAAGAATTGGGAATGAAAGACTCTGAACTGGGTTCATCCCCACTGGCTTTTCCTTGGGGTGATGGGAGTTACAGAAACACCAGCCAGTATCTGAGAAAAGAACAAAGTGCAGAGAAGAAAGTGGGTCCCCTGGAACCTCCCACACAGAACCCACTTGGGGTGCTGGAAGAGGGTCCAATCTTCCAGCCGTCCCCAGGCACCAAGAATGGCTACTCAATCTGCAGGGTCCAGAGCAGAATGAAAGCACAGGACTCCTTGGCTGGAAGTGATCATGAATTTCAAGAAGGTAGCAGAAGAGCCTCGAATCAAGCACAAGGCCTAAGAACAGGGCCCCGTGTGGGTCGCACCCCGGGAAGCCAGCCGG